GTAGGAAAAGCCAGGAGCTACATGGACTTGGCCATCTGGGCTAAGGTTCTGTCCCTAGCAAGCAAACATCCCTCCCTAACCCTCACTCTGGGCTGGGCACATCATTTCTGTTCGATGTGTTTTAGGGCTGTGTGAAACATCAGTAGCCATTACATTTTGGAGGGGTTTCAGCCTGTTTGGTGCCCAAAACACTGAATCCAAAATGAAACAGAAGGCTCCGGAACATCTCTGAACTGAAATGAAACCATCCAAAATGTTTTGGAAATGTTTCAGAGGTGGGCTTGCGGGGAAACAAATTCAGAAGGAGGGGGAAGTGGGGGCAGTGGGGAGGGAGAAGGACTGCTCTGATATTGACATCTGTAGCTGGCCAATGTCTGCGATCTGCCCCTGAGGTCCCTTCCAATGCCAGTGCTCTGGGGGAGGAACGGCAGCCTGCTGTCATCCTGCGCACAGATCTGGTGCCCGTGCTACCCAGGAGGAGTCTAGCACAGCCCTGCAGCCCTCTGGAGAGCTCAGGCCCCTAGATTTGCATGTGGAATGACAGAATGCTGCCAGCTGGGGCCACCGCCAGCACCCGAGTCTGCTTGGTGCAGCCCGCGTCAAACACCAGAAAGAACCCACTGCTGGTGCTGGTCCCAGCCAGCAGCAGCAAACTGCTGTCATTCTGTGCACAGATCCAGGGGCCCATGCCCCCCCAGGAAGAGTTTGGCACAGACCTGCAGCCCTTCTTTTAAAGTGCTCAGAGGCTGGGGCAGGGCAGGGGATGGGGCCGAGCAGGGCAGGCATCGGGGATACTCCTGTGGCGAAAACAGTAGGTTGGCAGAGGCAGGCACAGCCGGAGGAGCTGTGGGAGAAGCCCCCATGGCTGCCCTGCCCAACCCCATCCCCTGCCTGGCTCCTAGCACTTAAAAAAAAAGAAAAAAAGAAAAAAGCCAGTTGTAGTAGTGGTGATCAAGGCCTCTGAGGGTTCATGGCAGAGACCCCCACGCATTGTGGGGCAGTGAGAGGCAGCGGGGATTGCCCCCTGTACCTGGCACCTGCGCAGCAGCTGCCTCATACCATGGGTGCAGTGTGGCTCAACAGGGTGCTATGCACTGTCTGGGAGCTGGGTCTGCTGGAGCTGAGTGGTGCCGGGCTCCAGCAGACAGGTGGAGTTGCCCCAGCTCTGGGACAGTGTGCAGCGCCTTGCTGAGCTGCACTGCACCTGGCGATGTAACAGCTGCCACATAGGTGCCAAGTGAGGGGGTGTGGGTGATCCCTGCTTCCCCCCACTGCCCTATGCTGCATGGGGGGCCCTGCCATGAGCCCTCAGAGGCCCCAATCACCACTGCTACAGCCAGTGAGTGCGGAGCTTTTTTTTTTTTTTTTTTTTTTTTTTTTTTTTTTTTTTTATAGAAAGGGCGGGGAGGCTGGAGCCGGGTGGGAGATGGGGCCGGGCAGGGAAGCCATGAGCCCCTGCCCAGAGAGAGGCAGGCACAGCTAGAGGAGCCATGGGAGAACCTGCAGCCGCCCAGCTGTGCCTGCCTCTCCCTGGTTCGTCCGAATCTCTGAATCAGCACCAAAACAAAACCAAAACTCCAAAACAGATTCAGCTGAATCAAAATGGAACAGTGATCTGAAACATCAAAATGAATCACTGTCCCTCTGAAACAGCTGAATCTGAAACGAAAACAAAACATAGCCATTTTGCACAGCCCTAGTGTGTTTGTCACCTGAGACCTGTGGTGGCACAGTAGGGGGTGCTACTATGCAGAGCCACCTGCCTCACTGTGCCGGGCCCAAAATCCTTGCTCCCGGAGTCTCCCACAGAGTGTCTGCTACCAACTGTCTCACTTCCTGGGGAACACCCACAAGCCTGGGGTAGTGCTGCCACCACCTGGGCACTGGTTTCTGTTAGGGTTCTGTGTAGCCTTGGTGGTGCTTTGCCCACTGGTAATATTTCTGGGTCCCTCTTTCAGCCTGAAGCATCCCAGGATAACCTCAGGGAGAACTGAGGAAATATAAACAGACAAGCTCTGCTAGCCAGGCTGGGAGCAAAAAAGCTTGCCTCTCATCCCTCTACCCCTGGGCCCGATATTATTAAACATCTTCATTAATAATTTGGATAATGGGATTGAGTGCGCATTTAGCAAATCTGCAAATGAAACAAAGTTGTGTGGATTGATACACAAATACAGACTGGGGAATGACTGGCTAGGCTCTAACACTGCCAAGAAGGATTTGGGAGTTACAGTAGACCATAAGCTGAATATGAGCCAACAGTGTTGCCAAATAAAGCCAAAAGCATAAACAGTTTTATTATCAGGAGTGTCAATTGCAAATCAAGGGAAGCGGTTCTTCCACTCTATTCAGCTAATGCAGTCAAATTGGAAAGAGTCTAGCAGAGAGCAACAAAAATGATTAGAGGCTTGGGAGGCAAGACTTAGGAGAGAAGGCTGAAAGAATTGGAATTATTTATTGGAATTATTTAGCCTGGAGAAAACTGAGGGGGATTTGATAACAGTCTTCAAATATCTGAAGGGCAATTATAGATAGGATGGAGATGGGCATTTCTTTGTGTCCATACAGGACAGGACTAAGAGAAGCGGCCTCAAGCTGCAGCAAAGTGAATTTAGGTTGGAGATTAGAAGGAATTTTCTCACCATGAGGGTGCTCAAGCACTGGAACAGGCTGCCTAGGGAAGTTGTAGAATTTCCATCCTTGGAAGTTTTCAAGAGCAGGTTTGACAGACACTTGGCTGGGATGGTTTAGTCAGGGATGATCCTGCCTTGAGCAGGGAGCTGGCTAGATGACCTTGTGTGGTCCTTTCCTATAAATTCCTAAGTGCAGGTCCATTCAAGTCAGTTTGTCTTTTAGCTCTTTCTGCAGCCCAGATCAGAATCACTAGAACTGGGCCACCTCATTACAGTGGACATCTGTAGCAAAAGGAATGCATAAGCAGTAGCAACACTACCCTGTCCCTGGCAGAGATTCCTTAATGCAGTTTCCACTGTCTGGGCCCTGTGAGGGATCATCAACATTGTGCAATATTCATGAAGGAATACCTCCCAGTCCTGGAGGACAGGGCTGCTATGCTCAACCACAAGGGAGGTCCAGTTCAGGGCATCCTGGTTTGAACTAAAAACAAAAGCCAGCACTGGAGCACCACTAGTCCTCATCATACCTTCCAGATAGCAAGAGGAAGGGGCATTGGACTCTGCTAGATAGGCCTGGAGTGCAGCAATCTCCTCCTGCAACCATCATGTTTCCTCACACCAGTGCTGGTGATTCTTAGTGGTATGCCATCTGGGACTGGAGGGGTTGATTCTCTGCCAGCAGCTTCCAACACTTGCCAGGAAAAAGGTCATTCAGGCAGGCCTGCAGGCCTCCCTAAGTTATGGCATCCAAGCCGGGTGGGTCCAAGGGCACCAACAAGGGATTGGGCTCCATGCTGCACTGTAGCAGGGGCTGGGAACAAGCCTCTGCTGCAGACCTGCAGGACTGGTTATGCCAGCAAGACACTCAATTGGGTGGGTCTGGAAGAGCTGCGCATCCCCAGCATGCCAGAAAAAGTGTCTGGGGAGAACCCGGGAGGTGAGCAGGCCTCCATGGGCACTGAACCAGGTGCCCCAGGGAGCCAGCTCTGATTGGCCAGAAGACGACAGTGGGGAATTTAAAGGAATGCTGGGCCTTTGGCGTTCAGCATTCCCTGGGAACAGGGAAACACAGAGGAGCCAGGAGCTGTGAGAACCAGGGCAGCAGAAGGACTCACACCACTGAGCAATCCTTGCAAAGCCAGCAGTTCAAGGCACTTAAGGGAGCCCACCCCTGCCCCAGCCCTAGTAAAACCTGTGGGCAAGGAAGGAGCCCCCCAGGGGACACTTGCTTGCCTGCACACAAATGCCAGAAGCTTGGGGAATAAGCAGGAGGAACTCATCCTCCTGCTCAGTGCAAATAATTATGATGTCATAGGGATAACGGAGACCTGGTGGGACTCCACCCATGACTGGACCACGGGTATAGATGGCTATACCCTGTACAGGAGGGATCGTGTAGAGAAAAGGGACGGGGGTGTAGCTCTCTACGTTAAGGAAAGCTACACGTCCCTGCAAGCTGATATTGGTGACCAGGGTGGACGGCTGGAGACCCTCTGGGTTAAAATC